TATATTCCCGTTTTCAAAAGTGTTACAACCTTGAAAATATATGTTAAATACATATATCTTTCGTTTTCTTGTCAAAAAGTGACTCTTTCGATGAGAAAGTAAAAGGTCTATAAATTTAATTTACATTTTCAAATTAGCAACGTTTTTGGAAACGGGTGTATATATCTCTCTCTCTATGTATATACATATATATATATATGTATATATATAAGTATGTATGTATTCTTTGATTGAAAAAAGTAACTCTTCTTCGTAATCGCTAACTGAATAAAAGAGAGCGTCATTTCCACGTGACTTTTTACAGACACTGATTGGTTGGTATGTGCAACTCATGGTCACGCGCGTTACGTCCTAGTCACTCCAATCTGGGCTTTGGAATATAATAACACGTAACAATCACGAGATCTTTAGTGAGGTTTACCACCTCTTCATTTGTTTCAAGAACCCTGGAAGTACGTTCTCTCGTGGCGTAGAGTTTTGAAAAGTCATCAGGACCTGCAGATCGTGATGCAGCAGGATATCATAAAGGGGATTGCGATTGCCATCTTGTTCGTGTTTACCGTCTTTGCCGGTTTGGTGCCATTGAAAATTCGTCCGGGTTCAGGGACCGCCAGCGTACGGCAGCGAATCCTCAGTTACTGTAACTGCTTCGCTGGGGGAGTATTTTTTGCGACATGTTTGTTAGATTTGCTGCCGATGATCCGAGAAAAGTATGAAGAAGCGTTTAATCTGGCTGGTATCCATCCGGTATTTCCCGTTGCAGAGTTCACGACATGTATGGGTTTCTTTCTCATCTTGACTGTTGAACAGATCGTTCACTCTTGCCATGGTTCTTCCTTGCTACACGTATTGCATGGCGACCACACAACGAAACAGCCCCTTTTGAATAATACTCCAGATGATGGTTTCTATTCGGGTAGCGAAAGGAAAACACGAAAGAAAAACAAATACGGAGAGTCGAGTTTGAGAACTTACATATTAATCGTCGCCTTATCGTTGCACTCAGTATTCGAAGGACTAGCACTGGGTTTGATCACAGATGTCGAGCGCCTGGTACAAATCGCCGGAGCCATCGTGATACACAAATCGATCATTGCGTTTTCGTTAGGTGTGAACTTAGTGCATCACGAAATGCCAACAAAAACCGTCGTCAAATCATCTATACTGTTTGCAGTCATGGGCCCGATTGGCATTGCAATTGGAATTGCGGTGCTACACAACTCTACTGAATTTACAAGCAGTCTCTACTCAGGCATTTTACAAGGAATTGCAAATGGAACTTTTTTATTCGTGACATTCTTTGAAATCTTCCAGCGAGAGCTGTCAGAGCCTGGCAGTCGTCTTCTCAAGGTACTAGCTATAATCGTTGGTTATTCTGTGGTGACGGGCTTGCTGTATTATTCAAATATTCTGGAACACAGCGAAACGGACGTAGAGGTGAATCAAAAATGAACAACAAATGCGACTGTTCTACCAAATGTTGGATCTTAAGTTGTGTTAAGAGCCGCAAAACACTACTACAGAAATGCTCTATCTTTTCCCATAAGGAATGGTATAATGTCGTAACTATTTGATTTCAGAATTATTAGCCTTCCATAAATTTTAGAAATAGAGAAGTGAACTTTCATGAATACACCAGGAGAGATCAGAGGACATTGGAAACAATACCCTCATCTACCCTCTCCATGTTTAATAAGTATTTTATAGTACAAAGACCATAGAACAGAGACTATATGATGAAAGACTTGATTGTATCTGTGCAATAAAATTGCATTTTATCAAAATCTTGGTTATTTAATCCAGCTTGGCCTAATTGTTACAAGCACATGTCAGTGAATTAGTTAATGACCATTTTCAGTAACTCTGACAACAAGACTTCAAACATTATATCTTAACGTTATGTAATTATCTAAACTCCTCTTTGATTATGAACAATGATGGCTGAAGCTGTCTTGTGAAGGATGTATTTTTGAATGTTTGATAATGATTGTTATGCAGCATTCCAGGCAACAAAATGTGAGGTGTCCATGATAAATTCATCACACTTGCCAAAATATTTTTCCAGTTATTATAGATAAACCTTGTTTTTAAGTTGTTAACACAAAGCTTATGAATTCTTTCATGTTGCTTTGGTTTACATGTAATCACAATTTTGCTTTCTTAGTTCTTAGTTCAAGATTGATAATATATTACTAGAACTGCATGCTGATGTCATTGTATCAGAAAACTGCATAGGCAAGACTAAACAACACTAGTTTGTCTCTGTGTTTAGATACAATCATTTCTTATGATAATGGTTTCAAAGATTATACACACAAAAGTTATTTTTAACTGAGGAATCTGATGATAATCTGTAATTAAGAGTATCTAAATTTATTATTTGTGAAAAGCAATGGTGAAGATGGTTCAATAAAAAAAGAGAACAAGCCTTGATCCTTGGGGGTTGATGTTCTTGGAATTTGTCTTGATAGTAAACTGTTGAGGTAGCACTGCAGACTGGAAAAAAATGGAGATTTTTTTTTTTGTCTTTGTACTGATTTGAGGGAAATTTCTTGTAAGTCAATTTTAATTTACTATGGCTTGTAATTGATGTAAAAATTTCGACCTGTTTTCTTGTTCAGTGAGATGGAAATCTGAAACCATTTGTGACTTGGACACTTGCTTTCTCACATACATGAGTCTATTTTCATATGTTCATTTTTGGGGTTGTTGTTACCTCTTTCTGAAAATGTCTCCTTAGTTGAAAAAGGCAAAACTCCAATCATTTTCAAGCAAAAGGTACTGAGAAAGAGAACTTCAATTATGGAAAGTCACTTGAGTAAACACTAAATTCTTTAAGTTGTTGGTAAAGAAGTTAGTACTGAAAATTAATATTTAGATCTCATGAATGAAAGGGTGAACTCAATGTAGAGTGCTAAACTGCCATACTGTCACTTGGTAAAAGTAAAGCCTTTAAACAGGCCCAAGTGGCCCATGGGGCTGGTGCTTAACTCTGGTTTCCTTAGCATGAA